TTTTTATTGTACTTACTGCCTTTTGTACCAATATCATTTGCTCCTTGCTTGTGTCTGAACCCTGCAAATTTGCATACCTATTCTAAAGCATATGAAGAATACATTTCCACAGCATTGCTACGGTTTAACTGCTCACTGTGAGACAAATGCTTGCAAAATTAATAAGAAATGTTTTCATCCTATTTCAATAAACTGTGATTTTGCTTTCATTAGTTGGATTTTTATGCAGTAATTGACCATGTGGACCACATGAGTTCCCATATGTTGTGTAACATAATATACAAATTAACTCCCCTCCCATTATGTAATAGGAAAATCAGTTCATACAATATCACCAATAAAACCTTAGACCTTTTTGTTTTCTTGGTAACATGTTCTATGTAAATGCCAGGATAACATGAAAAAAAAAAAAATTAAAAAAATTGGAAAAGAAAACAAACAGTACTCTTCCATACTTTTTCAAAAGACCAATAAACAAATGAAACGTTACAAGTCTGCAAATAGAGCATAACACTATTACAACTTAATAAATCTCCTCTCAGTACATACAGTACTTTGATTACTTCAAAAAGTGAAAGTGCACAAATTCTCTTGAATGCTTTCTCCGCTTTAACGACGATTACATTTTGTAAAATGCGAATCAATAAACCTCCTTCAAGCACGATAAATCTATGTAGAAAACAAACTCAAATCCGTCTAATAAGCCCGGCTTCTTAGAATATTCCGTGTTTTATGAAATTACCCCCCCCCCGTTATAGCTATGATGGACTCGAAATTTAACAATTTGCTCCTAAAAATAATTACTCAAGTTAAACAATCCTTTGACCCCCAAACTGATCTTAATTTATTCCTTTTATCTGTAACTCACACATTACAATATCGCGTAAAATCAATTCAGTTTACGAAAAAGTCTAATCAGGCCAAATCCAAAGTCAAACTTCGCCATCGATACGTCTAATTTGCTTTGAAACTACAAACCTCAATAGTTATACTAAAAATCAAACTTATTTGATTTAAAAAATTTAAAACATTGCCACAATTTAACTCCCAAAAATTTTCCATGACCTTACCGTTTAATCGATTCTTTGAGAAAGGAGGTAGAAGAGAACTTACTATTAGACTATATACGAATAGACCTCAATTATCCGGAATGATAGCTTGTGACTAAGGGTGAAAATCTATATTTATCCGAATGTACGTAACTTATACGGAATAGATAAATATTACTAGGGTTACTGAAATAAACTCACTTATCCGAGACCAGGCTCGTATAAGTGGTATTATTGCACTCGATCTGTTTCACATTCAAAGTAATGGTTTTATCATGAAATATAGTTTTCCAGATTGGAAAAAAAAAAAAAAAACGGGTACTACCAAATTGATACAATAAGTTATGAAAAACTATGTTATGATCTTTCAGTTTAACAGGGCATTATTATTTTTTCAATGCAAAATGTAAAGTATAAGTTCATTTCAATCCAGTTTCTCTCATTTTGTTTGGATAGGACTTGGAAAAATGTAAGTACGAGCAATTTGCCTTTTTTTAATTTTTGCAATGCAATGTCAGAAAACATAAATTATGATATCAATTACAGCGTTACATAATCACTCGATGTGTCCAGATGCTGATAATAGGTTCATCAAACCGTATTGGATTTGGCATGACTGTCTCCTAATCAGATGTCCATTTTGTTTGTCTAGCTGTTTGTTCGTTATCACAGCTCCAACCTTGACTACACCTGTTTCCCTTGTCATTATGGTGTGAAATGATTTCGCCTCATCACTGTGTACCCGAACGATTTAGGTCAAATATACTACGCAGCACAGTTAAGGCTGCAATAAGGAGGCGGGGCCTACGGGAAATGGGAAATGCGGGAAATACGGGAAATGCTTACTATGACATCACACAAAAATACATGTTCTTCAAATTACCACAGAATGAAATGATACGCTATTTTAAACTGTTGGATAGCTTTAAACTACATCAATCCTTACTTTTGCATGTATTTTTGTCGTTGGTTAAATCCCACACAGCAGTATATAAACAATTCATTGATCGCAATGCACTTGTCAATGTGACGTCATATCGTAAAATTTGACGCAGTTTGTATGCAGTGAGAGGCGGATCAAGTTATATTTTATACAATGAAAAATGTGTTTTGTAATTAAATAAAATATTATTTGCAGATATATAAGAGGCCATTAACTTGGATGCAATGTCTTTTTTATGATTTTATTCATATACTTCCCGTACATTTCCTAGACAAGTGAAACTGCCGTACATTTGTATGCAGATTCATTGAAGGGTAATAGAAGGGTCGTAATAAGTCGATATATTGCAAGGGCATACCCTCAATGAATTATGACAAGCTTTTACACATAAACTCAAGAGGTATGAAGATATTTGAAAAGTGCTGCGAACCTGATGAAATCTTGCAAATGAATTAATTATATCTACATTTAATGTACTTGACCAGCAAAATATTCAACATACGGTCTAACAAATTTAATTTTAGCAATTATATAGTAGAATCTATATAGGTTCGCAGCACTTTTCACAAACTACAAAAAATGTTGAAAAAAAATATAAATTAAACTTAGATTTTGAACTTGGTTATGCCCTTGCAATATTGGAATTTATAGATGACCTCAATACTGCAGATATATTTCCTAAAATCACGTGACTGCCACATTAAGTGACAAATTTAATTAAGAAATATAAACGTCCTCAACATGTAGTTTTCAGCCACATTACATTTGTCCGATAATAGTAAAGGCCTAAAAAGAATCGCCCATCCTTGTAAAGAATGTATTTTCTGTCTAAAAAATTCGCCGATATTTTCATTTGGCACCTTAACTGTACTGCGTATGGTAGCGAAAACTCATCTAGGGTATGACCTCTGAACCTTTGATAAGAATGAATTTAAAATGTGTCATAATTTAGGTATTGATCTATAGTTTTTTTTATTACTATGATTCAAGGGCATTTCTCAAAGGTCATGTGGATGATCAAGGATATACATGTACAGTGGCTGCAACGTTATTGTTGACAAACCAATCGTGTAGAATCGTTTGTGTAACGTGCGTGATCGTTCGTGTAACGTGCGAGATCGTGCGTGTATCAGACTCAATCGTTTGCGGTTTTAATCGTGCGTGATCGTGCGTTAAGAAACGTGTAACTTTCGTTTTGTAAGTTTTATCGGAATGTTATTTGTTATACAAGTATTTCGCTTGCCTTTTTTTTTTAATCCAAATAAAATAAATGAATCGCGATTTAAATAATTGAAAGCAGAACGAACTAATTATCGCGTGGATATAAGCAATATAGTAAGTCGTACAATATTGTGTTTTCGTCAAATAGCGTGATTTTTTGTGATAAACCGTATTTAGATGTTTTAGGATTTTTTCTCTGATGTTAATTATGTTTACTGCTAATTATGTCAAGATATTTTTAAAATCAATAGATCAAAAATAGATATTTTTGCAAATAAATAAATAGATAAACAATTCTCAATGCTAACAGAAATATTTAGTCGGCGAATGTAGATCTACATGTACACGACATGATTGTCGGGGTTTCGTTTATCATTGCTTATCTCTGGAGCTTAGTTTTAATTATTTTTATAATTTCTGCAGATAAATGATTTGTAAAATAATTGTTGATTTTAGAGATTCACAAATGGAAACGTGGATATAACTTATAATACAATTCATTTTCATTCCATTTTTTTTTTCAAACTTATCCCTTTCTGCATATTATAAAACCAATTGAATCAAAACTCACGGTCCACCTACATGTACATCTTCTGATAGAACGAAAAAAAAAATCAGTTTTCTTAAGTCGGAGAATTACGTAAATAAATATTTGTAATATAAAATAATTAATTTGTCTTACGTGTATTTAGTTCCAGAAATATCCATTTCCATTTTTTTTTCATTTTTCAAAGTCGATGAAATAATATCAATATTAATTATTTGAAATATAAAATAAGTAGTAAGCCTTATTTCGTTTTGAAAATACCCATTCCTAAAGAATTTGAACTTCACGGCGTGAAGAATCGTGCGTTTGCGTTAGCAATCGTGTAAGATCGTGTAACGTGTAGAATCGTGTGCGTGAAGGATCGTTCGTGTAACAGATTTTATCGTGCGTTAATCGTGCAGAATCGTTCGTGTAACGTGATCGTTCGTGTGTAAGTTGTCAACAATAACGTTGCAGCCACTGTATATAGACACTTTGTCCAACTCATTACGCTTACCGTTAATTTGAGTGGTTTTCAAGACTAGTATTGGTTTTCACATGACCTTATTGTGACGACCTTGACCCAAAGTCGTATTTCAAACGCTAATATGATGAAAATATTATATTAAACTTAATAAGCCTTGTTTAATCTTGTCAGTTATATTGTGTAAAGGACATGTCAAGGTCATTAATGAAGGACACTAGATTAATTTATTAAGAAATTATTATTATATACATATATCAGCTTCTTTCGCTCGATTTTCAACGTTTCATTTTGGGATTGACTTAATTTATTTATTGATTAAAAATTGCTATTTTTAATTCTTCTGTTAAAATTTCGAGTAATGAGATCTAAATTAACCATCTACTTTTGGTACTAACATACAGAGATGGACATTGAAAATAAAAATCTTAGAGATAGAGCAATTGTCAAATTTGTAGAAAAATTAACTTTTCTTAATTAATAAACATAATTAGAAATTCATTTTGCATAATTCCATCTTTTAATGTATTTTAATTACTATGCATGCAGTTTAACCCTCTATGTATTTAATTAAAGAACAAATGGTGTTTTGCATAAAAAATGCGAACTTCCTGATACCTATTTTTAGCCAAACTATGACGGGGAACATCGAGTAGGGACTATCTCCTATCGGCCCTGGAGTGGCGCGCGATTGTGACGTCAGAGACACTTAACATCAGGAAAAATATTACAGGTGTCATTTTCGTATTTACATTCCGCGCGTGATAATAAATGTAATTGCGTGACGTCAGAATAAACATTATATTAATTCATGTGTGAAATAGAAACAAAAATTGTTTTAAAACACAAAGGAAATCACGTGCTGTTGTTAGAAGGATCTAAATATCGTGGAATATAACTTTTGACCATCTTATGTGTGGAAAATTAATCTGTGAAATATAATTACTACCGGGAAAAAACAAATTTTTTATAATGGATTTCAAAGAAGAGATACGGTTGTGTTTTTTATTTACGGTTGTTTTGTTAACATGCTTGTCAGGTAAGTGAATATATATATATACATGCACATGCATTTGTTGAATGCCCTGAAGCGACAACTTTACGACTCCGAAGTTGTTATGTACGCATGTGTCTTAATTGTCTATTTTCACACGTGCAAAAATTATTATTAAATTCGCTTTGGAATCTATATTCAACATAGATTAAATGAAAACATACGTGGAAGTTTTATAATCCCTGTACATAAGAAATTTGTTCAAGTATAAACTTGGACTTATTGTAGGCCAAAAACCAAATTATTATACCGTCTAAGTACGAAAATCCATTCCCGGTTTAAGCTTAGAGTTCTTTTTTATAATGAAATATAGAGATAACGAACATTATGTGAGCTCCAAGTCAATTCTAACATTACAAATCAGGAGCACAGCAAACACGGACCTCTAAAACATTAGAGGTGGGATCAGGTGCCATGAAGGAGTTGTTATAGTTAAACTAATACTTGACACAAAATTTTCAAAAGTTGCATAGTATTTTTGATTTGTCATAGATTACGACGGTTTAAAAAAGATTTCAATATATTTAGATATTTTCCTTATCCCAATTTGTTTTAATTTTTATACCGATTTCCTTTGTAATTTGGCATGAAGTGTCTTTTTCTTGAGAAGATTCATTACATGTAAGAGAATTCTACCATCGCTTATCAAAAAGATCAGTTGATGTCCTGCTTTCGAAATTTTCTGGGGGCGTTGTTAAAATTTTTGAATCTAATTACTTTTTTTGATAATAGTTAACCAAAAGTAAGATACGTTTTAAAGAATTAAAGTTTATTATGTCACTATTATGAAAACTGTTTTTTTTTTTAAAAAATCTGTTTTCAATTATTCAAATGTGAAAAATGATTTTAAAGTAAATTTACATATCTTAATGTTTAAATGTTTCATATACTTTTTATGAATTAGTTCTTATCAACACGATGTACTACGATATAGGCACCTATCTCGTATTAATTGAATATTAATGTTTTTGTAATAATTAAGATTAAAAAATTTAAAATTCCAACATGTAGTCCTTTTACCAAGTTTTCCCTACGGCCTTTTATGCTATAGCTTATTTCTCCAGACAATAAATGGTTTATATCGAATATAATTAAAACATTATTAATGAATTTTCATATTCTATCCTGACTGTGGTTTTTGCGTTGTCAAATCATATCGTCAGTCAGTTAGCCGTGCCCATTTGCGGATTGGTCAATAACAATCTCTTTGTTTTAGCTTGACGGATTTCCCCCTCAGTTTTGCGGTAATAAAGACGCCGTCCTTAACTTATCAGTGTAAATACATGAAATCTTCATTTATGTCAAGGATTGTCAAAATATGTTCTAGTTTTTTTCTAAAAACCTGTCCCAGATTTCAAGAAAGATATGATTTATTAATGTTAGTTTTATTGATTAGTCGAAGGATTATCAGACTGAAGGCAAATGACGTCACAATAAAGAAAAAAATTTTTTTTAGCCCTCTCGTTATTTGATTGTAAATGAAAAGTATTCAAATATATGCATCATTCCGCATTTGCATTAACAAAAAATACATATTAATATTTTCATATCCCCCCTTAGAAAGAAATAACAACGAATCTGAACGTCGATAGGAGTACAACATATAGAATACTTCCTCAAACGAACAAAAGGTCATTTTTTTAATGAAAAAATAATTGTTCAAAATCATATTTCAAACACGTCATAAAACTTTGAAGACTTGTCTAAAAGATTCCATGCATAAAGATCATCAGGATGAATGCATAATTAAAGATTTACAGTTAAATGCTTAGTCGATGTATTTAACTTGCATCATTTAAGATATTGTTATAAATGAATAAATAAAACAAAAATATTAATCCGTTCATCTTCACATCCACTGTCATCAATTTAATGTGAATCATCTTGAAAGAAATTAAACTTATAAGGATAAGAAATAAATTTCCTTATCAATCTTGGAAACCTTTTGAACTTAAAACACGCCAATGAACTAACCGTCCGTCCCTTGTAAACTTATTGCTTTATTTATTTCAGTTGTGAAGCATGTGAATAAAAACATATTCCTCTATATTTCAGATAATGTCTCAGGTCAACAAAGGACCACAGGTACCTTTTTATCATATTCAATGAACAGATCTATCGACCAAATTTCTATCATTTTCTCCTTTTTAGACGAGAACGCTTTAAAAAGTCGTTAAATATTAATGTCTTTGTCTATCAAATAAAACAAAACCAAAAAAGTATACTAACAGTTCAATTTAAAAAAAAAGTTCAATTATTCACATTGAATGCTTTTGATTACGTCGTTAATTTTGTGCTCAATTATTGTGACGTTATTGACAGAGTGCAAGAACTCTGGAGGTGCCTATGCGTGGTTAAGCTGTCTCATCGCCAAAGCAAACAAGGATATGTGTAACCCATCAGGATGTGCCCGGTATGCAGGAACGGAATTCGAAAAAGACCTTACATGCACGTAAGTTTTACAATGAAGGAGGGTAAATGGTTGTGGCCATTTAATATTCGTTTTCACCCTCCAAGCAAACGGGAGTTTGTTGATTCTAACTTATATGTCTTGTAAAATTAAATGAGTAAGATAGCTTGATGAAAGCGATTTTTTACTGTATTAACATGTGTAAATATAACGATCATTGCACATGTATGTTCTCTATTCTATATGCTTTAGAAAAAAAAAAATGTGTACCACAGCAATTTTTGGGCATAATCAAAAGGAATGAAACATTTTTAAAATTACTTTCCTCATTCGAATGAAATGAATACAAATGAGAAGTTAATTATGAAGAAAAAAACACACCCAAGAATGAATTCTTGAAATGCAGATTTCAGAAACAGAGATGTGGGGGATGTGTCCCACAGTACAAACTAAACGGAACAGAGGTCAGCTGTAAAGCCTTGGAACAAACAGGATATGGTAAGTTATACAGTAGCTCAATGATATAATATCCACTAATGCTTTGAAATTAATAATAATATAAGATTTACTCTTCTGATATGAAATTCACTCATGATGTAACCCCCACAGATGATATACAAACCACTTATAGTTTAATGAAAAATACATTCAGAGCTGCATCCATGAAAGTATACTTCTTTTGTTTAATATTTAGTAAAAGGTTTCTTACATATGAACTCAAAAAGATCATATTAATAAATGACAGCCATTTTGACCCACACATAACTCTATTTATATCATTGATTGTTTTTTCTTTCCTTGGTTGTAAATATGTTTTGGTTAAATTGTGATACATATATCACTCCCGAGAAATTGTCAACGAACGTATTAAGATCTCTGGATTTGATGTCGCTAGTGGTCGTAAGCAGCTGTATAACTCATTTCAAGCTTTTCAAGAAAGATGATTGGTTGATGATAATTTGTAAGCAATATCGAAGTATTTTGTTTCCCTCTTTAAAGGGAGAAAGAACTTCTTAGAGACGAAATGATAGATAATGATGCCTATTTTATTTGTAATCATATATCTTACGTCAATGTAAAAGGTGAAGAAAACGAACAGTGATCAATCTCAAAAATTCAGTAAACAAATCGAGTCATGAATAGAGCAAAAACAGATCTTGGGAAATTCCAGAGGCGAGATCATGTGCTTAGGAGGAGTAAGCATCCCCTGTCGATCGGTCACACCCGTGATGAGCCCTGTGTATTGATCAGGTTGACAAAGTACTCCGTTGTCAAATTAAGTATAAAAAATGACCTAATAAACGGTATGAAGCTTGTTAGACAAAATACGACCAAACGATAGATTGCATTTACAAATAAGGTCATTATAACAACCCTAAATCAATCTGAATGCAATTATGTTCAATTACAGAGTGTGCACCTGGTGTCCAGATGGAAGTCTGCAACTTAGACGCTTGCGTAGCAACTCTCTGTCGACCATATCTCACAGCCCCCTGCAGGTAAACATTTAATGTAAATTTTGGACGGTACAAATTTTGATACACCAGATGTGCATTTCGACAAATCTTGTCTCTTCAAAAATCAATGAAATTTTCACAGAATCAAGAAGAAAATATCACTAAGTGATGGTATCAGTTAGATTAAATTTGACCGTTTTATATTAGAGGCAAGGTCAGGTCAAGGTCAGTACTTTTTCCCTGGACATTAAGAATAAAAAAATTACTGTTGCCAATCATGCGATGCCTACATCTATTTCAATAAATTAAAATTTTTTTTTTTTTTTTTTTTTTTTTTTTTTTTTTGCATAAAGAGATATTACCATATAGGGTCTATAAGATGATATTATCAAATTGAAATAAATAATTTAACTAAAATGGATATTGGCTAATCCGAATTTTCTCTATTTTTCTTAAAATTTTAAGATATTTTAGTTATTTTTATATGCCTCCTATAGTTAAATTTTTCTTATTTTCACATATGGTAAAGTTGTCACATAAAGTTTTGACCGTTTACTAAGAGAGAAAAAACACTTTTTATGGATTTTTGGATCAAATCTGAACTTAAATTGGAAGCTTTTAAAAGCTAACATAATTGTAGTTTGTTTGGAAAATCATATATATTTGATATATTTTAAAACTTTAATCCCTTATTATTAATTTAACTTACATTTAAAAATTTTCTCCAAGTCTTTGATTGTGTAAAAATTATAACTAAATTCATTTTTCTATAATTATTTTGAAAGGCAGAAAAGAAGATATTTTCATACGCCGCCATTCCGCCAAAAATATGGTCCCTAGTAGATTTCAAACTCAGTTTACCATTTCTATTTAAAGTTGTACAATTGTGATGAGGAATGGAAAATATGATCTTTTAAAACTCTTACATCTAATATATAAAACATATAAGCAAATATACTTTGAATATTTCATCTAGTCAGAAACCAGACAAGAATCCCTCCTTAAAAGAAAATTTAAAAAAAAAATGAAGTGCTGAAAAAAGGGTGCCGAAGACATAATGTGTTGTTATAATATTATTTACAGACTTGACGTAAACATACGATATTTGATTATGCTATGTTCCCTTGCTCCCGAAGGCTCTTCAACGTTGATCTTTGAACTGAAAGGCTCGTTATGTTTTGTTTTTATCAGGAACAACTTCTGTGGTGGCTGTTTTGCAGAATATGACGTAGATGGCCAGTGGCGAAGATGTCCAATTGAAGGTAAGGTACAAAGGGAGAAGGAATTGTACATCTTATACCTTTTTTTTTTTACATGGATTCAGTCGTTTTGACAATTGTTTTTTGAAGGAAAAAAAGAGATCATTTTCATCAGAATATAAGATTTATCCTTTTATTGTACTCAGATTTTAAAGGGAATTTTTGCATGGACTTCGTAGGTTGATGTTACAAATAGAATGATTCCTTTATTGCAGTTTCTGCAATTCAGCCTGACAGTCCTGTAATTCCTGGTCAAACGTTGGAGGGTTTTGCTGATGTAGCCGCAGCTCCAGCTTTTGCTAGTTCCGCCGTAGTACCACAGGGGCCAATCAGAAGCGAAGTAAAGCCAAGAGACCCAATCATTCCAACAACTTGTCCAAATGGAGAACTGCCATGGGATTGTCCAGCAGACGTGTGCACTAACGCATATTGCGCTGCATATCCACAAGCGAAGTGCCGGTATGACAGAATGTATATGTTTAGTGATCAACATTATGACAAACTTTCATACAAATCATTTTAAAAGTAGTCAATCTATAAAGAAATATTGATATTCTTGCCATAGAGTTATCTTCCTTACATGGAGTAGTTGACCTTTCCTCTAAGGTCGGAATCGTTGCTGAAAAATGTTGAAGATGATTTGCAACCTATTTGATTTTTAATTATCTATTTCAAAACTTTAATTGGGGGAAAATCAAAGAAACTTTGAGACATGCCAATTGATTTTCAATTTTCTTGCAGGATAAATAACTGCGGAGGATGCTCCCCTGAGTTTACCACCGGCATTTATCTTATACAGGATTGTAACTCGAGAGGTAAACCGATTAAAATGTCTTACATGTTTCAACTCCATTATTTTATCTTCATTCTTTTTCAATGAGTATCACTAGGATTTTGCATATTAATAATTTAACTTATTAAGCTCTATACTTCCCCAGCACTTTAAAAGATGAAGCAGACATATGTTTTTCTTTTGTTACTTGTCAGTCGAATTTTGATTAGATTAAAAAAAAATGTACACCAATCAATTACTGTAAAAATAACTTTGACGTCACAATGCATTGTCTCTCTAAACACTCTTTGTATATTGTTTTTCAGAATGCCCAAAGAATACCCTTGAGATGGTCTGTAAAGATGACCCCTGTAAATATTCTACCTGCAGGAAGTACGAAGACAAGAATCCAGTATGTAGGTAAGAACATAAGTACTTTTTCCGAAAATGTGATCAGACAGACCAGATTTGGATATATTAATTGTAGACGCATCATACATTCATATAAAAATCGTAAAGCAAAGAAAAAGAAAAGATTTCCTGGTGCAAACCAAAAACCTGCAAAATAAAAATGCACAGAATTTTGATTTCAAAGTAGCTCTGCGGCCCATCGTCTATTTTTATTTATACATGTACATTGCTTTCCAAAAAATGTAAAATCACTCATTTTCGTGGGTTCAAATTTTCCTGGTGTTAGGAAAAAGATATAGCCCACAGGAGTTTGATTTCTTGTATGAAGAAGTGTATAGTGAGTACTATTGAAATTAACATTTAGGGGAGAACATGAAATCGTGCCTCATTTCACACTATGAAAACAACAAAATAGAAACCACCATAAAGATTAGTGATTTCATAGTACGTTACATGAATTTAGCGACATTTTATTTGTTTGTTTGTAAATTACAGAGCTATCTGCATAGTTTGTCGTTAATATCAAACAAATTAAGACTCATTTCTATATTTAATTCAAGTCAATTTGAACAATTTGAAACCTAACTCAATAACTTCATAGTTAGGTTGTATTTAAGTCAACCGAACAACCCCATTCTGTTGAAAGAAGGGATATTGATCAATTGAATTTTAGATGAAAGAACATACGTAATACTTTAACTTTATAAACCCTGACGTGTTTGAACTAGTCTTTTGAAAGACAATAAGGAATAAATTAATATTGGGAATATCCACGTCTAAATTCTCGAACGGTGAATTAACGTTACAAATAAAGATAGATCTTTAATCATTGTCTAACTGTGTTGAACTAAGAAATTGAAAATTTAACATTTGCCCGATTGTAATATAAATATGATAGAACTTAGTTAAATTCAATGATTAATATTTCTCGATTCATTTTTAATTTTCATTTTTGCTTTAAATATGTTAGAAATTCATCATCATCATCCAAAAAAAAAAAAAAAAAAAACAAAAAAAAAAACAAAAAAAAAACAAAAAAAAAAAAAAAAACAAAACAAAAAAAAAAAACAAAACAAAACAAAAAAAAAAAACAAAACAAAACAAAACAAAGAACCCCCTCACCCCCCCCCCCCCCAAAAAAAAAACAAACCCTCAAAACGAGAGAAAAAGATTTCGTATTTTTTCAAATACCACGTTGTTAACTATCTTTCAAGGCCCCCTCAAAAATATAATCAGTAACTTATAAGATCTTTAGGATATATTTCCTCTTAAATTCTAATTTTAGACCCAGTCGATGTGGAGGATGCAGAGCTATGTGGTATGTCAATGGGGAGGAAGTTGATTGTTACGAACAATATGGCGTCGATGTCCGTAAGTACAGATTAATTTTTGTATATCTCCTTTAGTTGACACATTTCAAACATAAAATTTTCCTGATTTGTAAGTCATATAAAACTTCATGAAAATGCGTCAACATAAATTGAAAGTTGAAAGTCAACATTTCGCAAGTTCTATGGTCGATACAATGACCTTGTCAGCAAATACAATCTATCATCAAGTCGAATGCTGACTGACGTTTTTCATACTAATTGTAAGGCCATTTTTACACATTTAATTGTCTACGGGTTTTCCGTTTGCCGGTCGACAGGAGATGCTTACTCCTCCATGGCACCTGATCCCACCTCTGATGTTTTAAAGGTCCATGTTTGCTCTGCTCCCGATTTGTTTTGCTTCAATCGACTGTTCATTATCTCTATATTTCATATATGTCCCTAAAATTTCAAATTAGGTGTAAAGTTTTATTTTTAATCATCTTATCTTTCTAGCCTGTCCAAATGGAGAGAGAAGACAACAATGTCCAAAGAGTACATGTAGATTTAAACACTGTCCTGTTGATAGAAGTATCACATGTGTGTAAGTAACAAATTAGGTCTTTAATTATCATTTTGTAGGTAAATAAGAGAGAGAGAGAGAGAGAGAGAGAGAGAGAGAGAGAGAGAGAGAGAGAGAGAGAGAGAATATATTAGGGTTTATTAATACAAATTATCTGAAAATTACATTTAACATTCTTAATTCCTAGCTTTTGCCTCTCATCATTAAAATCAGTAATGATTGCAATGTATACAACTTGGTGCACGTTTGCTTTGATTTTTCTCAATAAAATGCATTTATTATATGCCTAACCTTCTTTATTTAGTATTAACAATTGCGGTGGATGTCACAGGGAATATCAAAAACGCACATCAACAGGAAAAACTATCATAGTTGATGAATCTAGATGCCAGGGCTGGTGGAACTTGCAAAGTGGACAGAAAAAGAAGAAGCCATTTTTGTCCAAAAAGCGACCTCTTCCGCGACCAATAAACGAGATATCTCCAAATGAACTCGACCCAATGGCAAGAAGAAACAATGAGCGAACCGTGAATGCCATTAATAAATTTGAAGCAGCACCAAAGGGAAGCTTAAATATGGAAATAGAGCCAACACCAGGAGCAATAGCTAAAGCATTATCAAACGGAAATATTATTCAACAAGGAGTCCCTCCACCAATTCCAGCAAATCTTATGGAAGAACATGAATTAGGAATGCAGCAATTTATTCCAAAGTCAAACTTTCCGGAAATTCCTTCAGGTCCCACTGCAGATCAGGTTTTAGAAAATCCTTTGCTCAATTCCCCTATTTCACTTAGTAACATCGATTCTCCACCAAGTAACGTTGCTCTAGATTATCCGAAAGACAAGGGTACCCAAGTTTCTGAAAAAGTTGGACATTTATTAGGAAAATCTGGAAATTCAGGAAATACACAAATCCTTGAAAATCCTCTAATTAATGACAAAAATTCTCAACTTTATCCCCCAAACAAAGATTTAGTCGGTGTTCAAGAAATACAAAATCCATTATTGATAAATCAACAACCGAGGTCAAGTATTAATGCAGTGCCACTGGAAAACATCGCACCTTCCGTCCCTGCTAGTGACTTGTCTGTTGAAATACTTAATAACCCAAACAAAAGAAAGCTGGGATCTATTCATTTTAATGATAAAGTTCCATCAACAGTCCCAGAGCAAATTAAAAAGTCAATGCAAAGAGACAGGTTTAACGTTGGTTTTCTTGATTCAACAACAAGAGCTTTTCCTTCCGATCGAAATAATAGACGAACCAGACGGAGATTTAAAGCAAAAGAAAGAGGTGCCAAAGTATCCAGTATGAATTTCTGGAAGACGGATATGCAGTTACCACCTGCTTTCTTTGAATTTATGCTTCAAGGAATGGGCTTTCATGGGATTCCACTGGAAGGTTTACAGGTAAACATTTCAATATTTAATTATTGTATTTTATTTTTTTAATCTTTAAAACAAATTAATGTTTATAGGGTGATGTCTATATGAAAAATATTTGATACTTTTTTCAGTTAAATTTACAAGTGTTTAGATTTGAAAAAATTCAAAGAAAAAAATTCGTACGGTCGATTTTTATTATCCCGTGTATTTCTTAGACATCAATAGACTTCGTTATCTATAACTCAGATACCAAAAAAAAAAAATGTTTTCCAAATCGTACCTATATAGAACAAAAACAGATGATGTATTATAATACACATTGTTTATCTTCAGAGAATTGATAAAAATATATTTTAAAGAGGGCATTTATACATGTAGGTATTGTTCTTTCCGAATCTTTTTATCTTTTCAAGCTTTTATTAAATATAAGGAAATAATGTGAAACAATTTTTTTTCCAGAAAATGTGATTTCCATTAACGTGTACCAGTCAGCCATTTTGAAATCCAGAAATCCATTAGAAATCTGATTTGAAACAAACAACAGACACATAAGATTCCAGTGACAATGAAGTTAATGCGTGTCTTAGATTTTGTTTACTTAGTACAAGGATATTCTGAAGCTTAAATACATTTATTTCTCATAAACACCTTCAAATAATACAAAAAAAAAAAAAAAAAAAAACAACATTAGGAACAATTGCGATAAATGAATGGTACTTTGGTTGATGCTTAAGTCATCCATTACCTGTTAATTTAAAAAATGAGGAATCAAAAATAGTTCACCCTTATACGCTGAGCACAATTGCATCTCAGGATGATGATCAGTTCAACCTATCCAGACAGATATAAATATGTAACATCGATCAACAATAAGGCCAGATGTCAAAGCTAATATACTTGTCAATTGTGTGACATACAATTAAGAAGAACTTACCCAAACAATTTTAAAATTATTTATTCATTGTGATTCTTTCATAAAGTTTTCATATTGGACAATGATTTGTCTAAATGATTGGCCCGCATAGTTTATTATATATTTGTTTTTATTTCATAATCATTTTCATCTTCTATATTCACTAAAGTGAATAGAGCATCATTCTCATTTAAATAAAATAATTTCATTATGCTCTGCATGAGTTATGACGGAATGAAATGATTAAATATGTTTCTCACTTACACCATACGGTGAACATATTTGATAACCAACTGCAGGATCGAAAGACAGGGTCAATTTTGATGGTGTTATTCCCGATTAAAGTTTGTGAGAAATTAGAAAATGGTGATCTGGAAAAATTATCATTTACAACATGGAATAGCATACTTAATTTCCAAAACACAAGATCAAAAATCATGGTCATTGCAACTTCAATTGCAAATTTAAATGATATTTTTCCTCCAGTTTTACTCAGAATTTTAATCAGTAAATATCCGGACAATGTATTACCTTGTACAAAAATAAATATGGTGATCTGGAAAAATTATCATTTAAAACATGGAATAACATACTTAATTTCCAAAACACAAGGTCAAAAATCATGGTCATTGCAACTTCAATTGCAAATTTAAATGATATTTTTTCTCCAGTTTTACTCAGAATTTTAATCAGAAAATATCCTGACAATGTATTACCTTGTACAAAAATAAACATATTTCATTTTTCAATCTCAAGGACAATTCCAATCGCGATACATAAAACATTTCAACTTTCTACGGCAGAATTTGGATAAGAAATTCAAATTTTCTAAACGTTAAGGTCACATGTTTAGACCAGAATCAAAGTATGATTCTTTTAGATATTGTCTTTATTTACGAGTGATGTTAGAAGATGACAATAACTCATTAGACAGATATATTTGATTCTCATTCATTAGTTGTAAGGTCAAGAGTAAGGTCCATGACGTAATCGGCATTCTAGCTCTTTGTGTTCAGTCGCAAGAAGAGCTCACACCAGTGTAGAACACAACATTTAATAACCAGATTACGCCAAAGACGGACAGACGGACACACATCTTCAGTCCATGGGTCATTTCGTTCCTCACAACCTGGCCAAAATGTTTAAAGAACTATCATAATATTACCAATATTTGATATTCTTTTCGACAGGTTGTATTTAAATTTTACTGCAATTAGAAAGTGCCAAACACTGATAATGATAATGTGCCAAAATAATAGAATTGATACTTCATATGACAAAACATGCATAATTCAAAAGGTAATAAAAAACAAGCAAATTGTTGACGTGATATGAAATTTGCACTTTTGTAGTGATGGTTTTATTTAATTAATTTTGCTTAATTAATCAATTAATTTTAGGTAATTGCACCTCCCATTGTTTTTCCTGCACGCAATGTAATGTTTATTTATGAGCTTTCACTGAGTAGTTATGTTTAGATTTTGTGCATTTTTATTCATGTTCTTTTAATAAATTTGATTTGAAAAAAAACGTACATTGTATCAAGATTTTTTGATACTCTGGAAAGGAGACATAATACCCACTGAGATAAATGACTGCCGTAGAATCATTTGAATTGGTTGGGGGTCAATGTTCATGGGTATGCAAAATTTTACTTGTTCATCGAGATGTAATTTCTTGGCTTACTCGTTTATATTGTAGATTCAATGGATCAATATGTTTACAAAATAAACACGCGGCTAGGATAACGCTGTCCGCAAAATATCAAACTGTTCCAACAGTAGTAACTTCTCTGAACCACCTAGATATGACGTCATAATAGTATATGACGTCAAGTCACTGCATACTGTAGATTCTTAAATATACGCGAGGAATTAATTATCGCGTAATTACGCGAGAAGCACCACTCGCGAAATAAAATTTCTAGCCTTTATTTTTATGGTGCTGAAATCAATGTAAAATCCCGTGATCAACCTTCCACTCGCGAATTATTGTTTTCGCGATTTGACATGAAAGAGCTATTTTGCGATAATAAGTACTCGCGAAAATAAGAAATCTACGGTACTTTAGCTGACATTCCTTTCACATGACATGTAGAGATTTTTTAGCGTTGTTGTTTGATTCGAATGTCTGGATTGTTGTGCTTTTACGATGTTGAACGTGCAATTTAATAGCGTTAGTCCTTTAACTTTTCCAATATACATATATTCGAACATAATAAAAAATTGACTGTGAAACGCTCCCCCTTACACGTCCGTAAACAGACTTAAAATTTATAAATCCTGTATATATTTGACTGGCACAAGTGTTTGATAAGGATAAATTGAAGATATACTGTGCGAATCTACTAGAGAAGTGAGATCTCTAACTGAATTTTGCTGGGGGATTGTATGTAATTTATCCTATTTTGTATAAATTGCAATAAAGAGTGGAAAAAGTCCCCTTGTATGTGGGCAAATTGAATTACTTGTGGAATATTTTCTCAAGAAGTAAAATTCAAACCTGCCCCTAGCACTTTATATGTACCATAGATCACGATGAATTGACTTATGTGACAAATTTTTCTAAATAATGTTGTTTTGCACTTGTGCCGATGCGATATTGATGCAACATTTAGGAATTCATAAGTGTCCGTCACGTGATCAACAAAGTCATGTGACATCACAAATATGCATCATAATACCTGATTACACTCTCATTACACGTTGACTGCAAATTCATACATAGATTACTAATTGAATTTAAAATCTAGCTCAAATAAAATGTATGTTGTAATGCATATTAAGCTTTAAGTCTAGCATGCTGTTTCTGCACATCTAGAAGGCACGCTCCGCAAGTCGAAAATTCAACTCCATGTCAGGGTGGATGTGCTTAATGAAATATGTTTGTGCTTTCTCTTTTCTCTCTCTTTCTCTCCTTTATTTAAATTTACTTTGATATTCATTAGATAAGACAGTAGTTTCATAAATGTAACGTACAACTTTGAACACTTTATACAGTTCATCCTATTCATAAATTAAAGTCCAGGCTTTTTGACGTCATAGATAGCTGTTTTTATAAAATAAAAATTTACTTACCTGATCTTTGAGCATTCGCAAAATTATTTTGTTAAAAGCATTCTGAATGTTCACTCAAGTACTCCGAAGTTGATGCTAAGAAAAGATGCTTGAATTTCTGATTGACAATATCTATATAGTTTTAGAAGATCAAGTCTCCTAATAGTATGTTAGAATTTCCATAGATAATAATTTATTATGTTATGAGCAGATCTAATTTTGTATTCATTTGAAGTACAGTTTATTCAAAAACTTCTACATGAAAAAAGAAAGTCTCTCGCTGTGGTCTTCAATTCAACATTAAGATATATTGACGACGTTTTATCAATTAACACAATTCATTTGAATTCCTTCGTTGATTCGATATATCCCTCTGAACTCGAAATGAAACACACCATAAAGTCTGATACATCTATTTCTTATTTGAATGTTTTACTGGGAAAGACGTTAATGGTAACCTAACAACAAAACTTTATGATAAACGTGTTGACTTCAACTTTTCTATCGTCAACTTCCCCAATTTATAAGCAATATGCAATCATCAACTTTACATATAGTTTATGTCTCCCATTTGCTATACGTACGGACAATTTCTAAAACAAGGCAAGCTATTAACAGATAAGTTGACGGTATAAAGATATTAATTGTCTCGTTTAAAGTCAATATCTCGCAAATTTTATGGTGGATACAATGACTTTGTCAGCAAATGAAATTTGTCGTTAAATCGAATGTTGATTGACGTTTTTCATTCAAATAGTTAGGCCACTATTTTCTCACTGAATTGTCTACGGATTTTTCCGATTGCCGGATTACGACAAGGAACACACGCGTACAGAGGGTGTGACTGGTCGACAGGGGATGCTTACTCCTCCATGACACTTGATCCAATCTTTGATGAACCGTGTTTGCTATGCTTCCAATTTGTATTGTTTAAATGGACTTTTGAGGTTGATTACCGTTTGTTATCTTAATATTCAATAGAAAAAGTAGGGGTAAAAACCCCAAAATGAGTTCTATAATTATATGATGTTAATTTTATCAAATCTGTTACGCAAAGCGTTCAAAGTTATATTTCTCTCAGTGGATTAGTTTTCTCAATCATTGTACATGTTCGAAAAGAAATACTGAGTTTTCAGAATATAGTTTATTTATATCTCTTACTTCGAATTACACCTTTAAAGGAGACGTGTATTGAATAAACTTAAATCCTGCAACTTCACATCAATGTAATTGAATATAATGAAAAGGTTTTCTTATTTGACCAATTTCCTGAAATTCTGCGTTTTCAAATCTCTCGCAGTTCTTTGTCATAGAAACTAGATCTCGATTTTCTCCAATGTTATCAATCTTGTCATAGATCTCTGTGTTGGCTGTTTTATTTTCTGTAATTTTTTTTTATAATATTATTTTCCAGGAGATTCAGTTCTTTGTTTACCTTTATTCTACAAATCAAATCAAACATATGGTGAAAAAAAGATATCTAAGTGGCAGTTGAATGCCTTTCTTTTCTTTTAAATTTATACTTCCCTATTTCAATTTAAGGAACCTTAAAAGATCAATAGGATAAGCAATTATCTGATTCTAATGGCTTTACAATGAATAAAGAGGTGAAAATAACGAACAGTGATCGATCTAAAAAATTACAAATCTGTGAATAGGACATAAATCATGGACCCCCGTGTTGTAGTACTTTTTGAATTTTCTATTCATTGATTCAT